GCAGAGCTGTAGCTCAAATGATACAGCATTAGTCTTGAGCACAAAAGCTCAGGGATAGTGATCAGGCCCTGAGTTCAAGCCCCAGGAACAGCAAAAAAAAAAAAAAAAAAAAAAATTGAATTAAAATTAAAAATTAAATTTAAAAAATCCATGTCCAAAAAGAAAAAAAAGTTAGCTGGGAATGTGGCTTAGTGATAGTCCTTGCCTAGTATGCATGAAGCCCTTGGTTCCATACCTCAGTACCACATAAACAGAAAAAGCTGGAAGTGGAGCTGTGGTTCAAGTGGTAGAGTGCTAGTGCTAGCCTTGAGCAAAAGAAGCTCAGGGATAGTGCCCAAGCCCTGAGTTCAAGCTGAGGACTAGCCAAAAAAAAAAAAAAAGTTAGGGCTCAAGCTTCTGGTTTCAATAGCTGAGGTATATGGAGTAGCAATTATTTTCATCAAAATACAGAAGAGCCCAGAAGGAGAGCAAGTTTTCAGGGAATGAGGACCAGTTTTATTTTGAATACTGAGTTGAGCTGCCTGAGGGATACTTCCAAGTATAGATAGTTAATAAACTAAATCTAAACTCCAGACAAGATAGTTTTAAAATGTGGATTTAGCTGGGCACCAGTGTTTCACGCCTGTAATCCTAGCTACTCAGGAGGCTGAGATCGGAGGATCATGGTTCAAACCCAGCCTGGGCAGGAAAGTTCCTGAGACTCTTATCTCCAGCAAACCACCAGAAAACCAGAAATGGCATTGTGGCTCAAGTGCTTTGAGCTGAAGAGCTGAGGGACAGAGTTCAAGCCCCATGACCGACCAAAAAAAAAAAAAAAAATGTGGATTTGGCAGCATATGCACTAAAACTGGAATGATACAAAGATTAACATGACCCCTGTGAAAGGATGGCATTCCTATTTGTGAAGCATTCCTATTTTTTGGTAGAATCTAAAGAGCCTGTTCACCAAGGAACATAATCCTGATGCCATAACAACTTCAGATTAAAAATGCAAGTCACTCTCATTTATTGAGAAAGTATTTTCATTAAAATACATTTTAAATCCACCCTAAAATGTGGACTTAATTATTCAAACAGCTAATAAGTGAACAAGGAGTAATGAAATGAGATCAGGAGGCTGTTCTGTCCAGTGTACTTAGCTAATCTTTCCTTTCCATTATTGCTAGAACTCAGTTATCACTGGTGTTCAGAGCCTGGTAAGAATAAATATTTTGATAAATGATCCACTGCACTATCAAATATGATTGTAACTGTTCCAGTGTCAATCTTTTAAGTGTAGCAAAGTACTTAGCCATACTCAATAGAATTTATTACCTGTCACCTAACATGTTAAGAAAACTTGCTTTCATTTTTTGGGGCAGGTACTGGGGCTTGAACTTAGAGCCTCCGCACTGTCCTTTGGCTTTTTCACTCAAGGCTGTTCTACCACTTAAGCCACCACTCCATTTCCATTTTTGTTGTTGGTTGTGGGGCTTGAATTCAGGGCCTGGACACTGTCCTTGAGCTTCTTTATGTTCAAGGCTAGAGTTCTACCACTTAACTTCTGGTTTTTGAATGGTTTATTAAAGAGTCTCATGGGGACTTTTCTGCCTGGGTTGGCTTCGAACCACAATCCTAAGACGTGAGCCACTGGAACCAGGTACAGCTCCATTCTGAAAACTTGCTTTTTATTATTTACAAACCTCAAGAAATACTCCAAAGCTAGATAGTGAAGGGAACTTGCTTCCTCTATTTTAAAATCTTAAGTTTGTGGAAATATTTTGGTAAAATGTAATGATCACGTGTGAGGAAAAAAATTACTGTTGTAAAGCCTCTGAATATTCACAAGTATTACCACAGATTAATTTTGACAATTGATTTTTTTTTTGGGGGGGGGTCCGGTCGTAGGGCCTGAACTCTGGGCCTGGGCTCTGTCCCTCAGCTCTTCAGCTCAAGGCTAGCGTTCTACCACTTGAGCCACAGCGCCACTTCCGGCTTTTTTCTTATGTGGTGCTGAGGAATTGAACCCAGGCCTCATGCATGCAAGGCAAGCACTCTACCACTGAGCCACCTTCCCAGCCTGACAACACTTCATGACTGTTTCCTGTCAAACAGAAAACAAAGATAAGTTTTACCTCATTTACTTCATGATACTGTCTTCAAACTGAAATTTAATCAGTCAGAAATGAGTTGCAACTCAAAATTATATAACTGGCTTTTCAAAAATAGTTCTCAAGTATGAAATATTAAATTCTTCAGAGAATGTTAAATTTAGGAGAATATAAAACTGAGGGGCAACTAGTTTCTGAGTCCTGCTGCTCATTCTCCTGAGCAGTCTTTACTTTTAGATGGTTACATATACTCTGTTACCCTACTATTAAAAGAGAGAGCCAGGAACTGGTGACTCATGCCTATAATCCTAGCTACTCAAGAGGCTGAGATCTGAGGAATGAAGTTCAAAGCCAGCCCAAGAAGAAAAAAAGTCCCCATGAGACTATTATCTCCAATTAACCGTTCAAAAACCAGAAGTGGCATTGCGGCTCAAGTGGTAGAACACTAGCCTTGAGTATGAAGAGGTTCAGAGACAACACCCAGGCAGGGTTCAAGCCCCATAACCAACAACAACTAAAGAGCAAAAAGAGAGAAGTATGAATTGAAATATCAGCCCAATGGTACCAATGTATTCCTTGATGCGCTACTTTAGAAATAATATAGATATATCTCTTCATTAGTCAGAATAATGGATAAGTACAGAAACTAAAAATAATAAGAAATATAATCTTAATCTATATCAATGGGATAGTTCAATGAACTGTATTTGACAGCAATTGGTGGTTTCTTTGCTTCCAATATTTATACAGATAATCTTAGTGCTTTTGGAAAGATGCATATATCTGGCTTTCATTTAGGAACATTAAGAGTGGTATAGAAAAAAACTTCAGCTAATATTCCCAACCTCTAATTGGAGCAGGTGCACTGGACCTTAATAGAATGCAAAGATGACACTTCTCAATTTCTCTGCCCTTGCAGTATTCCTCTTTTTTTGAACCCCCAACAGATCTGCTTTGCCTGCAAAACAAAATCACATTTTTTAATAATTAAACTCCCAAGAATCCACCTCAACTCCTACTACCCATGAAAGAACAAGATATATTATAAAGTGAAAATATTTGCTTTTATTGTTATAAAAATTATATTATTCACATCTCTACATATGAGAATTAGCTTTAAGTAGTAAATAGCATTTATATGACAAAGGATAATTTAAAACTAGCTCTATTGTTTCCAGACTAGTTTTTTCTTCATGATCTTACATGACAACATAGAGTAGCAATAGCAGCTTCTGGAAAACAGAAAAACAATAGCAAAAGTCTTTCAGTGAAGCTGTTTAAGGCTGAGCTGTTTATGTCACTAATCTTACAACTTTCATCAATCTTAACTATTAATTTCACTAATCTTGTCACTTTTAGATCACTAACATTACATGATGCCAACCTACTAAAACAAGCATTATTCTGCCTATGCAATCCTAAAATCTTAAAGAATGTACAACCCAGTAATATGGTTCTGAAAATTGACAGATAATTCAACACAACTTTTAGTATTGGAGTAGATAAGAACTATTGCAATGTCTTAATACCCAGTCCAAATGAGGAAAGTTTTTTATGCTAACCAGTCTGGGGACTGAAATTAAGTATCAATGTTCTCATTTCTCTAGAAGTGATTCTAGCTCTTCTTGCAAAGAGCTGAGCTGCTCCTTTTCTCTATCTTCCTTTTGCTTGAGTTCATCTAGCACAGCCTGAAACCTGTTCTTCAGAGCCAGGTTTTCCACTTTCATGATGAGATCCTCTTGTCGTTTTGCCCTGTCCTGGGTCTCTTGGAGCTTGCCTTTCATGTTGTCAATCTGTTTCTGAATTCCAATAACCAGCTGATTGGTTCCTTCGTTTTCTTGGTGCTGTTCATCTGACTCGTTTAGCTTATCCTGTAGCTGTCTCTCTAGATCTTCCTCTGTGTCAATGATGTTTACATCTTCTTCATCTTGATGCTGCGTCTCATCTTCATCTTCACTGCTGCTGCTCAGGTCATTGAATATCTCTCGAAGCTCATCATGTTCTAATGAGTCATGGCCCTGCCTGTGGCCAGACATTCCTGGAGAGGAGATATCAAGTCCTTGATTTTCTGTCTCTTTCGTTTCATCTTCAGCAATTATCTCCCACCTAGTACTGACAGCTTCTGCATCTGTACTAAGCAATCGCTTGACTTCTTTTTCCACATCTGGAGATTCAATATACTTCTTTTTTGCTGTCTTCCGGAACCTTCTCTTTCTAACATTTTTATGGGCAGAAATTCCATGGTTCCAGACAAACTTTTTCTCTTTATCTTTATCTTTTTTCTTGCTTGCTTTGGGATCAGCAGTAGCAACTGGTTCCTCCACAGGAGGATAGAGATCACCATCAACCGTGCATACAAGCATCTGACAGATATCGGCAGTCTTGTAAAAGGTTTTTTTGTCAATGGTCTTCAAACTTTCCATAACACAAGGCAGATCTACCAGTTTTGCAGCCAAAGGGACCCGGTCCACTCTGACAATTCCATGACGCCCATCAGGATGTAACTCAATGCTCAATCTATCCTTCAGGTTGACATGGCCAGATTGTACTGCCCTCCTCACATTAGCAGCATATTCTGGAGGTAAGCGTAAAATAAACTGGCTCTCTAGTTCATGAGGAGCATCATCTTTGCTCTTACTCATCTTTTCTTCTTTGTGACTCACTTCTCTAACAAACACTTGTTGCACTAAAAAGTTCCAGCTACTGAAACAGTTAAAAAGACCAATACGCTATGGACTGTTATCTTTAATCACAAAGAGTTTCAAGTAGAACAGCAGCGAATTGGAAAAGCAGCTAAGCGTCCAATTTGTCTTAATTTTTAGTGAATCCCAAGTCTTTTCCCTAAATGACTGACGAAATACCATTAACACTCTGGCTTCTTATTTATTTTCATTTACTTGATTCTTAGCCGCAATACCATGTTTCAACCTCTAGATGTCGCTGCCGTGCAATGAAGACTGAGCTAGCCGGAGCCAGCAGGGAAAGCAAATGGCTTCTGCGGAGAGATTTTCGGCACAGAAATTAAGATTTAGCAAACAATCTCAATCCACAAGCCCAACAAAGACATTCAAAAGGAGGGGCGCAGTTACCACTCTCCACCTCGGGTACTTACCACCCACTGATGATTATACAATAGCTTGCCCTGGCCCGAGCGAAACGGAAGAGGAAGCCGGTAGATCAGTGAATTCAGCCAGGAGTCCTTTGTTCTTTTTGCTGCCTTGCAAAGTGATCCGGTTACCAATAAAAGCATCCAGAGCAGGCAGCTCGAAGAATCACGGAGACCCCGCAGCTACCGGCACCAGATTGCAGAATTCCGCAGCTCCGCGCATTCAATCGAACAAGCACCCGCGCGCCCTGGCCGGCGCGGGCAAGCCCGCGGAAACCTAATAAAGCTGAAAGCATTACGTCACGGAGGGGCGGAGCCAATAACTGTGAGTGACAGCCCAAACTGGACGGAAGTACCGCCTCATTAACTCGCGCATGCGCAACTTGCGCTGTGGGAGTTGTCTTCCAGCCGAGTTTACATTGACTGGATTAAAAGGACAATGTTTCCAAAAGAGCCTCTGATTTGGAAATAAATGGTGAGGGTTCTTAGGGTCCTCGTATAGACACCTTGTTTATTGAATCGCCCGAAAAGCGGCGGAATAGCTTCTAGTCTTCCGGGTGATTTCGGGAGGATAAAGACAGCAGGGAGCAGAGTATTTTAGTCCTCTGGAAAGTTTCAAATACCCCACCCACTAATCCAGATAATCTGGATTTTAAAGTATCCAAATCGAAGAAATGAGGAGAGGGCTGGGAAGGTGGCTCAGTGGTAGAGTGCTTGCCTTGCATGCCTGAGGCCCTGGGTTCGATTCCTCAGCACCACAAAAGCAAAAAGAAAAAGCCGGAAGTAGCGCTGTGGCTCAAGGGGTAGAGCACTAGCCTAGAGCTGAAGAGCCCAGGCCCAGAGTTCAGGCCCCACGACTGGACCCTAAATAAGTAAATAAATAAAAAGAAATGAGGAGGACTTGCTACCTGCTATAGAATTCCAAGTCTTTCTTTTGTGAATAATGAAGATGCCTGGAAGGGAACCAAAGCTCTGGGTTTATTTCTATTTTGGAGTCTCCAGAGAATGGGTGAATCTTCTTTATAACGTACATGACTAGATGAAAAAAAGCATTTTAGGGCAGAATTGCCTGGTAGACAAAAGGTCTAAATAAACTAGTATATCAAGTGAAACATTATGCCCTGCCTGTCACTTGCAAATAATACTTACTCTGAAAATTATTCGCTTCAACTCTAGTATTTTGCTTTTATTTATGTGTTCTATTTGCAGTCTAGTATTCATTAACATGTATTTATAGAACTTAGACATAGAGCTATGTTACAGTTTATACTTCTTACTGTTCATTCTCACTTATTTTTTTAAGTTGGATCTCTATAGGAGCATTGGGTCATTTATAATTTAATTTTATAAATTCTACTAACCTCTTAAATTAAGGTAACTCTGCTCAGATGTGACTAGTGATTCCTTGCCCTAGATTGAAGTCTTTGTCTTATTTATTCTGTCCATTTGCCTAATATGAGAACATAGGACACACACACACACACACACACACACACACATTACTAATGGAATGAAACAGTTGGTCCACCTAGAAAAATATAGTGTGCATCCTATAGTAATTTGTGAAAGAAAATATTCTATGTTGCATTAAAATGAGATGAAGCCACTTTATTCCCATTTCCTTTCTAGTTAAAGCTAGTGTTGATTGTGGTATAGGAGGTATGTGTGTTATGGTTTGTATATGAACTGTCCCCCAGGTTCATGTTTTACAAACTTGGTTGCAAGCTGATGGGAATTTGTCAAGTGATTAGATTTTTAGTACTCCTAACTAATTGAAATAATCCCTTGATAGATTCATGATCTGTCACTGTTGGTAATATTGGAAGGTGGTGAAAGTAGAAGATTGGGCCTACTTGAAGGAAGTAGGTAACTGGGAATATGCTCTTGAAAAAATATATCTTAGGGCTGGGAAGGTGGATCAGTGGTAGAGCACATGCCTTGCATGCCAGAGGCCCTGGGTTCGATTCCTCAGCACCATATAAGCAAAAAGAAAAAAGCTGGAAGTG